CAATTAAAGAAGTATTTCACTCTCGCTCCTTGGGTGCTCCTCCCTCCCTTTCTCCGTCTTTCTCTCGATATTCTCAACGTGATTTTACGCCGTCTTTCGAGTCAGATCGCAATTTGTGGAAGCCCGAATTACACGTTAATAGAACGTAATAAATGGGAATTTTATCGAAATGCTTGTTGGCGCAGAATACGACAGTTTTTAACGAGTGACTTACGCGGTGAACGCCGGAAAAATAAAAGAAATGGAAAGTCGTAAAACTGTACGTAGATGGGAGGGATCTCGTTTGTCTCGCAATCGACTGTTTGATTAAATAATTAGAGCTCGCGGCGAGCTTAAACGGTGGACTTATGCAAAGAAGAAGAAATTTAAATTGGCGAGAGAAGAATTCGGTACGGACAGCTTTTACCCGCAATTTTCTTTGATGTTGTAAAGTATTATTATGTTATTTTGTGATGACCCGAACAAGCGCAACATCCGTGAAACAACTTGCTAATATGCGTGCATCAGCAGTAACCATTAATTAGCAACCAGACATCCTTACCAGTAGTTGATAGAAACTAGGATGATTAAGGAAGCTGCATAATGGAGGCGCGTTGTGCGAAACAACGGCTTGCACGGTATGTTTGCAGATAGCACAATGCAAACAAGTGAGGTTTTTCGTAATATTCTTTCACGGCGCAAATTTGGCGCATTGTAAGCCATTTAAATTCTCTTTCAAATCTTTGCGTATAAGTATCGCGGCGCAGTTTTAATTAACAAAGGAAGAGAAGCGCGCAATTTTACACAAAACTCGGTTTTTATATTAAAAAACCTATCGTTTTCTTAACATTGTTGTAATTAACAGACGGCATTTTTCCTTCAATTTCTGCCGGTAAACGGTGGAATTTACGTTTGGTTTTACTGCCTCGTTAAAAATGTTCATCCAACGACAGCGAAATAATCAGACCGTGAATTGTAAATGAATTAACATGCGAAAAAAAAATTATAATTTCTTTATGGAATGAAAACGGCAAAAAGGGAAAGAACATGTATGTGTTGCTCGCTACGCAGCGAGTTAATTACAATTAGTCTCCAATATGCACAGGAAGTAATTGCCATTACCAAATGCGAATGTGAAACTTTTCCTTTAACGACTCGACTCCGAAGGGACTACTATTTCATCTTTTTCTTAAGAGATGGATTTGCGAGATTTTTAATAATTTTATATTTCGATTGCATATATTTATATTACAATCTTTCTCGATGAAAAACAGAGAAAGAGGGCACCTATTGAGATGAGCGAAAGTGAAGTTTTTGTGATGCAATTGCGGAGTTCGCCTGTCCTTTTATTCTTACCATAATCAGCGTGCAAGGCTCAACGACATATAATTTTGAAAGAGTTGCCAGTTTCTTATCACTTATGCATCCATGACGGATTATCTCAGAGGTATTCCTCCGTTCCTAATGCGCCTTTTTCCTTTTTCTCATTTTCTCTCAGGACAGCACTTCGAAAATCTTATTATTCTTCAGTATTATTGACTCTTGCACCGGCGACGCCGGTTTCGGTACCTTCTCGATGCTATCCGCTTTAAGAAATAATGCGCAAAATTTGTGGTTCCTCTAAAGGTAAAACTTTGTTACATAAAGTATCCCAAAATAATTCTTAGCAGTTTATTAGAAGTTTTTAGCAACCCGAACTCTATGCGAATTTTACGAACGTCGCCGGCGGAACTTTCACAACGCTTGCGATATTCATCTTTACATTCGCTTTCGTATAAATTTTGCATTTTTGTTCTTTTCTTGGTACTCTTTTCTTAATAATTCCTTCCTCCTATTCTTGTTCGGTAAATGTGTCAGTATCGAAACCAGCGTCTCTACACATTCTTCGAACGCCAGGTACTGCCCCAGTCACCTAATTCTAACACAACACATGGAGAATTACGCAGGATAATATTCCCTAGCTTAAGTACAGTACTATACGTCTGTAAGTCTTTAGATACGGAAGCATATGTATCGGACGTGGATGTATGGAGTGTGTGTGTGTGTCTTTCGCACGCGTACCCACGTAGTCCATTCATTCGATCACTACGAATCATTTTTTATGCAAGTCGAACAACTGTCGGCGTACGCAATGCGATCGATCGTACGGAGTAATATGCACGTCTGTTAACAAGAACAAGAGGAAAAATGCTTATTTCTGCAAGCTATTAATCGATTGTAATGATATCCCCTGTCGTTTGTATGCACCTTCGATTGACTTACTTATCGAGATATCGTCTATTCACCTGTCCGAGATTCAACAGAAACTTCATCGCAGTTTTCGTTAAAGCGAATCGCTGTTTTCATATTGAAATTATTTCTAACTTGCCGCTGCGACTTGACGCGTAACAACGAAAAGTTCCAAGTTAGGTCGTTAAGTCAATACGGGTCGTTCGGTGTATACAAACGACACGTTACCGTCTCACGATACAGTTCTATTATTCTACCACGGTATAATGTATAATAATTATTACTACACGACGTACAACAACGATCATTAGTCTTGTCGTTTTCCACCTTACCGTAGCTGCACCGCGACGTACTGACGATAGAAAAATTTTGCGCACGCACCGTATATACACGGCGAATTTTTTCCGGCTACGTAACACGCGCGTTCTCGCGTCTTCGCGTTTCTCACGAATGCACATATCTGCTGCGGTCGGCATAAAGATCATCGGAGGGATTCGTCTAATTTTTTTTTTTTAAGATGCTCCTGTCTCGGAAATCCACGGGAGAACGACTCCCGTCATTGGCTCGCTTCGCGATGGAACGTGTAGAAAAGGTAAGAAGTACAAGCTGCGGAGATATTGTCGGCGTAATACTGTCTCTCACACGACGGCGCGAGTTACGAGGTACGCGAGGTATCGATTCTTCTGCATTCACGCGCGATTGAATGGGATGTGTCGCCCCGCGGAATATATCGTTGCGCGAAACGTGTGGTGTCCCTGGATGGCATTAATATATCGGGGGCAACGATAAGCGTCGTCGATTTTGGAAGTCCCTGTATTATACGACGGATACCCAAGGCGTCTGTTAACCGGTGGTTATCGACCACGGTCGATAGCGCGACCACTTAACTTGATCCGACGTTATGTAAAAAACGCGACGTTAAGTAAAAGTGCCTCGGGCAATCGTCCTTGCTGATCGGAAACGTTGCAAAATTGACTCTACATACTTCGAATTCGCGTGGGTGATAGGAAGATGTGTGAGTGTAACAGTGGTGGATATGGATGCAATATTCTATGATGTCAGGAACTAGGAGATTCGATATTCGCAGTTTGATCTTACGTTCAAGGCCGCGTTTCGACCTTAAAATGCTATACAGATTTATAGCCGCGACTAAAAGCTCGCCATCGTAAATCTATGCGTATAGGACTTTAGAGATCGCACTTAGGACAATCCTGAGTATAAGACTCGACTATGAATATCGTAAAGGAATGATCTTCCGTATATACCGCGTGCTTATTGTCCACGCGTAGGAAATCGTGCGAAATGTCCACTTAGCAGCGATTAGCCGCCGCTGGATCTCTCGCGCGTTTCTCTCACTCATCTCGAAAGATTCGTCGCGCTAATAGCCGCGCTTTTAAAAAAACCCGTTGTGTTTCTCGCGAATTCTTGTGACGCTACTTCTTCTAGGCACGTATCGTCTGCGTTTTGTCGCAGCGTGCTCTTTGCGGATCGCGCGGTAACGCCGGTCCATTCGCCGGCGCGATTTCCATCCACTTCGGGTCGGTTTCTTCTCTCTCTCTATGCATGATGAACAGCTCGCGTGTTCGCGAGCGTTTCCGGTATGTTTACAGGCGTTTACGGGAGCGATGGATTTCGATGTTTTACGAAGTACGATTGTCCACAGTGTCTGCGCGACGTACGTTCTTATCGCTATAATGTGACTTATCATTATGCCCTCTGCGATTCTCAGGTAACGTTTGACGCGAACAATGGCGCTTGTACTTGATGCGATCGTACAGTTTTTGACGATGAGATACGCGAGAAAAATGAAAGACCGACAAGGAAAAGGTGGAGGTGAATAACGAAAATGAGATAAGAATAATTTGACAACGCGAAATATTTGTCTGAACAGTAATATCGCATTTCTCGCAGGCATATTTTCACAACACTTGTCCACGTCGTTCAGACACAGCGGCAGATTCTAACGATAATAGTTACTAGCTTAAAGCGTATCTACGAATAAAGCACCATCTAATTACGTCTAAAATGCTTATTAAATGAGCTTCCCGGTGGCCACGCGTCGCCTGCGTGGGATCTCAAGATCAATCATCGTCGATCACGATAAATCGATCGAAGCGGCGTTTTCTCGCCCGATAGAAATATTGCTTGATCAAGCGTTAGTGGTGTTACACTTAAATTGACTAGTACTGTTTGTAACATGTATCGCACACAACCATCTCAGAGGCTCTCGGTCTCCCTAACAACCTTAGTGAAAGAGAGCGAGCGAAATTGTCGTCGCTCTCTTTGACGGCAAAGCTTGACTTCCTTTCGGTGTCGCGCGCAACATTGATTGAGTATACGTGTCACTTGGTGGCACGGTCTTAACTTTTACGCCAAATATTGTTAAATTCGCAATACCTCACCCATTTTACAGTCAGTCGACGTACCCGCGTACTCGATATTCGAGATCTCATACGTGCCGCATAATGAATTCAAAGCACGCGGGAAATCAATCGTCTAGAATTTTACGTTACTTGCCAAAACGGTGAGTGCGCTGAGGCGCTGACGATGCTGAAGATAAAGGGCCTCTATTCCGGCATGCGCGAATACCGTTATTGCGATAAATCGAATTCGAACTTGACAATAATTGGACATCACTATCGAGATAATGTCCAATAAAAAGCTTTAGACTATTGCCGGTCGCAAAAATGCGCGAAACGTGTAATAAAAACGATTCACAATTTCACCCAACCTCCGAATCTCGAGTACGCTTTACAGAAGTTTTCGTGTCCTCACTTGATCATGATACTCACTGCCGTGGGTCCCTGAGAGATAGCGGTCTCCTTAGAGGCCTCTTCGACCTCCTTGAGCTTCTCCTCGGCCTTACGTTCCTTCAAGGCCTTGAGCAGCTTCCACTTGGACCCGGGTGGGCCAGGACTCACCTGGCCCTCCTTCAATGTCGTGTCCGAGCTTCCGCAGGACGAGGAGTCGATCTTGATCTTCGGTAGACTCAAGGTCGCCGTGGTAGCCGTCTCGGCGCTACCGGCTCCATCGCGCTCGAGGCCTTCAAGGACAGTGCTTTCAGAATCCCAAGCTCCCGGGATGCTGACCGACACTTCGCTAGGTGGTACACTTACGCTACCTTCGCGGGATAAAGAATCCGAGCCCTGTGGCATCTTCTCGCTGTGACGTAACGTCGAACCGTTGGAGCTTCGTCGTGATTGTTGCTCTTCGAGATCCTTCGGCAGTTCCTCTTCTTCTTCCTCGTCCATCGACTGTCCGGGACTGTCCGGACCGGATGTTTCGCCGGAGGAACCCTCTTCAGTGGACGGTGGAGGCTTCTCCTTTTTGGCTTCTAGCTCGTGCGCCCACGTATGGTAGTCGGTCACCCTGGCGAACACAGCCTCTACACTTTCTGCAGACTTTCGCTTAGGTATAGGCTTCTCGTCGCGATACCTGCTATCATTCTCTTCGAAGCGATGTTCCTTAATGACCGTACCGTTCATCCTACTTCGCGATTCTTCTCTACCCTCCTTTCTCTGATCCTTCGGTTTCGTGACGGCTTTGAGCTTAAGCTCCTTCAGTACAAACGACATCTTTTCTTTTACCGTTTCGTCTGGCTGATAAACCTCGTCTTCGGGTTCTTCGATCAATGCTTCTGTCATCTCCATCTCGGACTGTCTCTCCAGCTCTTCGAGTTTTCTTAATTCGTAACAGTACCATTCGTCTTCGGAATCGATCGAGTCCTCGGTGCTTTGCCGCCTCGAGGACACTCTCGATGTGCTTCTATACGAATGAGTACTGCGATTATCCTCGTCAGGTTCACCCGGTCGCGATCCAGTCCACGGAATCTCTAGGGATTGCTGATGGCGCGGTAGAAATCGAGATCCTCCCGTGGTATTGTAACCCCTTACGGACGCCGATGGACTGCCCTCCGACGGCGGGGCCTCTTCCGACAAACTGGTGACCAGTTCCGGTAGTTTCGCGCTGCCAGACTTCTCGCTCTTTTCACTCTTCTCCGACATATCTTCCGGATACTCGAAGCTCGTTTCCAAAGTCTGCCCTGGGCCCTCCTCGATCGACTTCTTTTCATTGTTCTCGCCGTCAGTCGTCGATTGCTCATCGGACACCGTTGAAGATTGCCGTTGGCGATACTTGCCGAGCGCTCGCGACACTGCGAATTCCATGCTCGAACCACCGATCAAAGTAACTGGAGGCAGTTTCGGCGCCTTCTCATTGGGCGCCTCATCCGAACTGCCTGTCGATCTCTTAATATCGCCGACGGTTTGGAAGATTGACGACCCGCCGGATCCCGAACCGGTACTCTTTCCCGAAGTTTCCTCTTCGAGCATAGCCGTCTGGTCGTTCGCGTCGTGCTCGTTCACCTCAATCTTTCTTTGCTCTTTCTCTTTAGCCCATGTATCTTGAAGAGCCTGTTGGTGTAACTGCTCCTGATGCTGTTGAATCTGCTGTTGAAGCGCTTGTTGCTGTTGTTGAAGCGCCTGTTGTTGTTGGAGTTGTTGTAGCTGTGCCTGTTGCTGCTGCATATATTCCTTTTGTTGCGCTTGTAGCTGTAGCTGTGCTTGCTGCTGCAGCTGCTGCTGCTGTTGTATCATTATTTGTTGCTGCTGCTGCTGCTGTTGATGTGCCATTATTTGCTGCGGAGACGGCTGCTTCCTCTTCGTGCTCGCAGTTTTTACCTTGGCGAAGAAAGGCGGTTCTTGAACGATGTCAGATATGACGCTATCCTCATCTTCCGAGAGACCGCTTTGCCGACCACTGCTCCATTCCGTCTCTGACTGTTCCGGATCGGACAGAGATTGCGACTGATGACTGCGACGTTTGGCCTTCTGAAGAATGCCGGAGACCGTGGAAACCAATGTGTGTTTTTTCTTTTTTCTGGCGGCCTGACCCCTGCCCCGACCTCTGCCTAACATTTCAGCGGGCAGTCTTTGTTGCTGGCCGTCTTGCGGCACGTCCAGATCTTCTCTTCTGACACCGCCTGGTAACGATTGACTTCTGTGACGTTTGGTAAGATGCAAATCGGGCAGCCAGTTGCTCATAGAGCTCATCGCATTCTTCAGCGAAGAGCCTCTCCTGACCTTCTTCGATAGCTTGCTTGTATCGACCTCGTGATCTTTCAGATTCGAGGAGATACTGATGTATCCGGATTGCGAGACTATCACACTCGAAGCGTCATAATACTCGCCCTGCTGCGTCTGCTGTTGTTCCATCCTTCCGCTCTCGAGATCCTGAATATATTGATGCTCTCGTTGCCATTGCCTTTGATAACCGTCCGCGAGTTGCGCGCTCTCGGCACTGCTCAGTCGCTGACTATACGGCTGATACTGCTGTTGATAGGCTTGAGGATAATTCTGATTTGCGTAAATGTGATGCTGTTGATACGCCGAATGCGCTTGGTAGGCCGGAGGCTGGGGATACCTCCGGTCCGTGTATGGACTTTGCGCATAACTTCCGTCGGAAGTCAAGGATCTGATGCTGGAAGATGTCGAGTCGTGAGGTATCTGTTCCTCCATCGAGTTTAACCATGACGAACTCTCGGTTGTCTCCGTACGTGGCAAATTAGTCATACTGGTTGGATAGTATGAGAGAGCATCCGTGATGTTGCCAGTGGGAAACATCGTGCGATACATCGCCGCCTTGTATCCTTCGTGGTTCGTCATGCCGTCTGTGAAAGAGCTTCCGCGTATCGGCTTCTTGCCGTGTGCCATGGTATTCGTCGTCTCCACGTATTGAAGAGTGCCATAACTGTCCTGGTAGTTGGCATATTGGTCCATCGGATCGGAGGAAGAATAGTAAGCCGAGGTGGTAGTCTTGGGCCCGTAGCTCCCAGAACCGCTGGTATAGACACTTGTAATGGCTTGCTGTCGATTACTACCGGCCACGGAATAAATGGCCGGTTGTTCCGATCTGTAGATATAATCCGCATTCGTACCAGAGACCGTCGAGCCATAAGGATGAATACTCTGTTGACGACTTGGACGTTTTTTGGGACTTTGACAGGTAGTAGTTACACCCGGAGCTGGCGGTGGCGCAAAAGTATAGTCTTCTTTCGCTGGTGACTTGCTGGCGGTCGTATATGCCGACAAGTGATTCATTGTCGTTGTGTAAGGATGAGCAGATGTAGTCGCCATAGTGCTCGCGAAGGCGTCTCTACCCTCAGGAGTGTCATAGAGAGGTTCCTGCGTGATAGTGGTGGTGGTAGTCGTTTCTGGAAGCGGTGGTATCGGGCTGGTTGTTCTGGCGGGCTGCGTGCTAGGAATGAGACTACTCGCGCGGGTGTGATCCACCGAATAAGAAGTCAGCATCTTAGCAATGGAACTCTTCGGGGAACACGGTGACTTGTCTAAGCTGCTCCAACCGCTCATAGAGGACAGACCGGAATCGGACTTAGCTGTGACTATGTTAGCGGCACTGCCAGGCTTAACCGCATGTTTCGGCGAGACTCGTGGTGATTTGGGCGAATGAGGAGTGCGGGGACTGAGACGACCCTGCTCCATGGAGACCAATTTTTCCGCGTTTCGCAGAAAGCTCGGGCTCTGAGACCTCTTCGCGTCCGGTTCCCTTTGTTCTGTGCCGGACATGAGGAAGGATTCGGTGGTGTCTTGCGGCGCCGGTGGTGGTGGTGAGCTAGGCGACGGACTAGGTGGCGTACGACTTTCCTGGAATTCGAGATTGAGCCGAGCTGCGCTGCCAAAGTAACCGTCCTGTCTGGTGCGGAGACCCTGGACGCTGTGAACGCTGTGTACGCTGCCGGCCGACAAAGTGGGCGACGGTACCTTCTCGGTGGTTGTGCTATACATATTGGGCGAGGCGCAGGTGACAGCGGTCGCGAAGCTCTCAGCCATTAGATCTGTCAATTCCTTGTTTTCTGCGTATCCCTTTGCGAAGCTACCGACATCGATCGGCAACTGGATCACGGGCTCCGGGCTCTTTTCTAGTATAGCAGATGTATATCCTAATCTAGGCGGGGTATAAGTAGTCGAAATGGAGTCTAAATTACTCCTGGACGTAGAGGTCAGTCTTGGCGATATAGATCTCGTTGTAAAGTCGCCATCGGTGGCCAATCCGCTGTCGGTGCTGACTCTGGAGATCGATCTGCCGGTGGAGCTGGGACTTTTGGAGAAAGTCCAGCTGTCCACGTCAGTCTCCGCGTATATCTTCCTCAATTGTTCGTCTATGCTACTCGCCTCCTCGGCCAGTTTCGCTTCGGCCTCGGATGCATATTGAGTTCGCTTCGGCGAGTCTATCAGTCTCGATTGCAATTCTATCAGATTTTGCGAATCTTTTTGCAACTTGCTGGTTAGCCTATCTATTTCGTGCAACTTTTCTAACGCCACTTGATCGAGAGAGCTGAGTCTGGAAAGTTGAGCGAGATCTTGCTCACTGACGCACGGCGTGTTCCCTCTATAGCTCTTGTAATCTGCCGCGCTGAATACCTCGCCCTCATCCTCGTCCGCCTCGTCCTCCTTCTTCATTATGGAGGTTTGCACTTCCTCCTTGGTCGGTTGACTGGACAGCTCTTCCAGTTCTTTTTCCTTTGGTATAGTCTTATCGAAGATGCTGGCCTCGATCTCTTTCTTACCGTTTATGTCCTCATCTTCGGCCTCTTCCCAGATCATACCCAGCTGCGACGTCGGTCTCGACGTGTCGCCGCAAATCAGATCCTCCCTGTAGGCGTTATTGAGGCTTCTGTAGAATGCTTCGTCGGGAATGTTACCCTCTTCCTCGAGGGTCTCCAAAGTGTCTAAATTCCTGACATTCCTGTGCATATCGGTGACCACAGCCGCGGCCGTTGTACTGTCCTGCGTGAGTCCGTGCATCCTCGCCAGCTCCTGTTGAGCCAGTTTCTCCCGTAGCACGGTGGTCTCCTCGATACTTATCGCAGCACCCAGGCTCTTCGCTATCGCGTCTAGCTCGCCCACCGAGTCCTCCTGGTTGGCCAAAGTTTCCTCAACGATACCCACGTTGTCGTGAGTGCCACCGCTGGTATAAAACTCGATCAACTGGCTGATGACCGTCTGCTGCTCGTACAGCAGACCCTCCAGCTTTTCCAATCTTTCCCACATTTTGATGTACTCCTGGCTGAGGAGATCAAGCGCTCTCCACGCATACTTCAACTCAGTTTCGAGGATATTCAGTCTCGTGCCTAGTCTCTCCATGTAATCGCCTATGATGTAATCGATATTACCTTCGCCGGGCGCGGCGTAGCTCGGCAGGACTGGCGAATGAGTCCTCGGACTAGTCGGTGTTGGACCACCCAATTTCGTCGAATCCATATTTCAGCCTTATCTAGTCGCACTACGCGTCGCAAATACTTTTATCGTATCTTCTTAATTTTTCTTGTTTGTTATGCGCCTATATTTCTATTTGACGATCCCTGAGGCGATTCATCGTCGAGGCTCGTTCCCCCAAATCAAGTCACATTCCCCCTTGTGGACCAAGAAGGAACATGAATTGCAGCTTGGCGAACCTCACGGAGGCCATTGGTATAGTCGAGTTTTTGGTCGTTGCGTCGCGTTTCGTGATGATCTCCATGTTGGCTTCTTTCGAATTCTCACATTTCACACATAGTCTAACTATGTCCTACGATTTCTCGATCACTTTTACGTCTACATGTATCAAGTCTCTCTTTTCGCGTTCTACAGGCTACACTGCGTACACAAAGTTTGGAAGTCGTTGGGTTGCAATCTTGATAGAACGCTCCAGATCGCGCGATACTCTGCAAGTGGCACTTTGTAACCAGTCTCGTACGTTCATGCCGCCGTTGTTATCTGCAAAATAACAAAAGCCAACCCCCGTATGGCTTGGTACAAAGGATACCGAATACCAAGTCAACAACGAGTATAAGGTCAACAGCTTCCATGGTGTTTGCATTATCTCGATACGCATCATCAACGATGTATTGTAAAGTCAAGTTAATAAAGTTAGAAATATGCCGAGGCATTTGCTTCACATCCACGAGGCAAACAGGTTTCTAAGTACTTAACCTAAAGCTGTATTATTGGAATTAATCATAGGCTGACTATGAGTGTGTGTCGCTATCAAGATTTCTGTCTAATTGCGCCTCCCTGGCCTCAATCTAAACTTAATAGCGACGAGGCGAGACTCTACAGTGAAATAGATCGAAATTCTGTCGAATATACGTGGTCACTTAAATATTACATCGCGTGCTACGATAAAATCGATTGGCCGTATAATTTATGAAAATAAAGGATTTAAGAGAGTTGCTTCATTTACACGTCATCGTACTTATTGATCTAGTGCAATTCTACCCGGTGTCCTACTGCGAGTTACATTCGCGTATCGGTACCAACTGACCAAAATAACCAACACGACTCTAAAACCTACCGGTCAATCGTATCTAGATCCTGGATCCTCACGAATTGTCAACAAATCAATTTTGTATATTGCCGTTGTGTCTATCTCGTGCAGCTATTGACATTTCTTTTTACACGCGTCTTTCCCACCGCAATTCATGCCAGACGGAACAGCACGGATACAAGATACTGCTTTTATGATGGCAATGAAATTACTATTCCGTAATAATGGGAAAACGTGTCGCTTAAAGCTACCCGAAATGATCGTGCAATCTCGAAAGTCGTTAACCTAATTTCACGTGCATTATATAGAACGTTGAAACAAGAAGAGTCGTAGTTACATACTCCTTGATTGTTACGTTATAAATTTGTAATAATTGACAAAAAACGATATCATTGTAAATCGATGTAAGTGACGTATCATTCTGTAAAATTTACTCGACCGACTGCTGCTTTAATATCGAGAAATACCAGCGCGCGGAATAATGGGACTTCTAAACACTTAACTTTTCTTCGATCGAAAAGAATTAATGTTAACTCTGCGTGTCGGCAAACGCCATAAAATGGCATTAGACGTAAATGTCGTGATTTAATATATCGCGTGATACTTTGTTTTTAACATTGTTAAGATGAATTATCTCTGTTTCAAGATCCTAACAGCGAGTGGCTCGCCATTTACGGTCGTATATCAAGCGGCACGTGCGTTTATCACCCCACGTGCCCTTTTTATATTTTACACTCGGGAATCTAGCATCGTTTCACGTGCTGCTAGCTTCCTATCGGCTTCCTTCCGGTTAAGCGAGCTGCCGCGGACCACAGGAAAGAATACCGCCATGACGATATTGCGCTGGATATGTGTATACCGCGGGCAGATTCTTCGCCGGGTCAAACTGGGCATTCACGAGTTGCATCACAAAAGAGACGAGCGGCTATGCCACCATTGCGAGAATTCATCTCGTGGAGGATTCCTCCCGTTTGCAAATATTTCCCCTCGCCGAGTTTCTTCGACTGTCCGCAGACAGGAAATAAGATTCGCTGTATATACGTTTTAATATATCGCTCCCTTGTAACGCGTCCTCCACCGCATTCGCTGCGTTTTAACCTTCGATAACGACGATACAAAATTATCGTCGTTAATCGCATAATTAATAGCTATTAATATGCAGCGGTTATTTGCGCGACGCACGGAGTAGAACGTTTCTTTATGGGCCAGTTATTTTTATTCCCGCTTATGCTGTCGCTCTGTGTCTTTGCGATATCAATTGCAGATGGCTGATGGCATGTAAACACAGTAAAGCCGAATGATTATCGATCCACTATCTACTACATGTCAACTGGAATGTTTATTGTGCTATATCCGTGTCACCGAGATTACTATTCGCGTGGTATAGTGGGCGGTTGATTCTTGATAGTTCTACTATAGGGTTTAGATTTTTCACGTCACAAGACGATCATATTACTGACATGGTAAATGCCGCTCGATATCAACCGTCAGCGGCGAAGTTGCTTTCTTCGGTGCTTTATATACTTTCTGTGAAAGTGAGTGAAGAACAAGATGCGACGCGGCAGTAAAACGAATCTTCGTTTTCCAACTATTTCAGATTTTACTTTAAGCTGACTTAAGCCGATTTGGTAGTTAATTAAGAACGGAAGTCCGGTGGATTGGCGACGAGAAGTCTGTCGGTAATCGAGTATTTCGACGCAACAAGTCCCCGCCCAATATCGATTATCTGATGTCCGCTGAATAGATTTTATTTGCAAAATCATCACGAGATATATAGATTGTTCTTATCGAAGATGAATATCACTGCGAAATTGATCGTAAATTGATATATTCGCTCGGTGCGATTGGATTTGTATCTTTTGTACCTTTTGAAGCTTCCATTGCACTGGAGATTTCCACCTTTAAAGAGGATTTTGATGGGCTCGCGAACAAAGTAGATAAAATGTCAGCTAGCGGCGAGGGACGAAATTTATTATACTTTATACATAAAAGGGATATTCTTCAGTCTATAGAAAATTTGTGAATTTCCCGGGCGTCTGATGTATTTTTTCCACAAATTTGGCTTACCTCATAAATCTCACAAAAATCCCTGTCCGCTTTTTTTTATACAAAAATTGTAGAAATTTATATGCTCTTATATTCTCTAAAATAGTGTAATGATTTATTTATGCTACCACGGTGTACGGTATCGTAAGTGGTATTTTAGGGTGATTTGTAGAAGAGCTTACTTATGTGCGACACGAAAAATTTCCAACGAAAAATAACGTAAAACGCTTTTAACCGGGTGAAACATCCCGTTAGAGAAAAACCTCCGCTCGGCCGCTTCTGGATAGCGTGAAAGACCGTAATCTTGTTAAAAGGGGCCGAGATTAATTCACAACACGTCATGTATAACGAAAAATGCGACAACCCTGCGGGGATTTTGCAGTTTATAGTCATAGATTTTCTTATATGCGCACATGTTTATAGAGAAAAATATCCTTTTGAAACGCGCACACGAGACTAGTTGAAAAGGAGAGGGAGAGAGAATTCAAGAGCATCTAAGGAAGCCTAGTTGTTCGTATAATTACTTGTATTGTTGCGAAACTTCGGGGAGTAGCCACTTGCGTGGCATCCCGCTGTATGCAGTTTAATGCGATCATAAATTTTAATTTTCAATTTCAACGCGACACAGTTGCTGCTGAGGTACCATCCCATGCAGTTTCCCTCTCGGGATTTTCATGAAAAAAAAAAAAAAGAATGTAAATTGTACTTTCAGTTTTCAAGATAACACCAAAAAGACGAACTACAATCACATATCGATGCGTCTTTTGTTGAAGCATTTTCTGCAGCACAATATGTAGTACCACAAACTGTTCTGCGTTGGTCACGATATCGACAATTAACCTCGTACAACGCGCAAAGAAACTGCACTCTCCCTCCTTTATTGTAGTTTCGTCCTAAACGATCGTTAGGAAGTTGTAATAAAGGAAGGGGAGTGCAATTTCTTCGCTCGACGTTAATTATCGATATCGCGAGTATCTTGATAAAGTGTTCGTGATATCGCGTAATATACGTGTGTGTCTTATAGTATCCTAATAAAAAATCTATAGACACTTTGATATCTAATTTGCGCAAGATAAAAGAGAATAAATACGGAAATAATTACGTCTAATGGCCACGATGATACAGTTGCTCTTACTCGAGCCTTTTCTCGCGCGCGTATCCTTTTATTCGTTCCTAAGGCGACCCATACATAGGTCGAAGGTTGCGCCGGAAATGGGATACGGGAGAGATACCGGTTAATCCCATCTAGGACGGGGAAAACGACTTTCCACAGATGGCAGGGTCAACAAAATTTATACGATGCTGCAGAAGTTGGTTTTTCGAAATAATGCCTCGCGCGATATAGGCGAAATTTATCAAGCAACAGGTCCTTCGTTTTCTCGCTCTTAGTATTATTAATTGTTACAAAACCGTTCTTGCACGACAGAAACCACTCGACGATTTTGCCGGGCCGACGATCTTGCTGGGAAAAGACAAAAGAATTAATCTGCATTATTCCGTCGTTGTATAATGAATATTGCGCTTAAATTGTCGCCGCCGTTCATTCGTGAATTTTCTGTCTAATAAAATCATCGCATAAATTTTCAAAATACGTTAATTGGTGAATAGAATTGTAGTTTCGACGTAGGAATCATTTGATAGAAGCCGGAACACAATGCTCAATCGTATTTGTTTCCATAAGCTTAGCTTGCTTTAACAAATCGGAAGCTTCCACAATACTATATTCACCGCGTGTAACGTCGCAACGGATTTTCATATGTTTAAACGTGAAATAAGGTGTTAACGTAGTAAAATAATTTTTATAGTGTTATAAAGTTATACTCTATTTTCCCTACAAAGGCAGAGACAGGCAATTATCTCTTAAATGTTCTATAAACAAGCCTACGAATGTCGTATGCAATAAAGGGGCTGCGAGGTATCTCTTTTATTAAATTTTAGAGGCTTGCCCGCGCATATTGTCGCACGACGGATTTACAAGATGTGTCGTAACATACAATATATTGTGGTTACCCGGCACAAGTTTATGTATTCGATAAACCGCGTCGTGGAAAAGGCATTATGGTCTTGGAAACAACTCGCGGTTCCGTTGCTATAAATTGCACGCGTATAGATACACGTATATCGATATCGTGCTGCGTTCTCGCTCAAAGTTTACATAAGCGACCCGCCATTGTAAAAACGAATGACCGACTGGAAACTATCGAAGTACCAGCTGGGCCCGGTCAATAATTAATACGAGCGAGCCCGACAAAATGCTGCCGCACGGCTGCCGTGTATTCCAAGATATTTATACTCGTTTATAAATTTTAATGACCTTCTCGCCGAGGCCTGGCGTTCCACGACATCCGAGGAGTATCGTTGGTAATCCCGGAGTAGTCGTCTGCGCATACTAGGGTTCGAAAAC